CACTCATCTCCATCATTGATTCATCATCTTTGTGAGATTGAGAGAGAATCCAAGTGCGTTGCTTGAGTGATTGCATCTAGAGGCACTTGGTGTTTGTGTTTCGCTGCGAGATTTGCTTGTTGCTCTTGGCGGTTGCCACCACCTAGACGGCTTGGAGCAGTGGAGGAGGTAACTCTAGTGGATTGTTCGTGTCATTGAGTTACCTCACTTGTGGGTAGGTTCTTGCGGTGTCCAATTGTGTGAACGAGGTTCGTGCAACACCTCTTAGGCGGCGAACCACCAAGTGTTGGTCGACACAACGGGGACGTAGCGTGTTGGCAAGCACGTGAACCTCGAGAGAGCCGTTACCTCTTAGAGCTAGAGCAAGTTTGCTTTTTGCTATTTGTCATACTAATCAAATTGCTCTTGTTGGTTTGTAGATTTTTAAATAGGCTATTCACCCCCCCTCTAGCCGTATTAGGACCTTGCACTAGGTGACGGCAATTACCAAGAGTAACAAGACACCACCAGCCCAACTCACCCTTCCTAGTGCCACAAGATGCAAGAACTCGATATAATGCACTAGAGGCCCTCAATCTCACTCACAAATGTGATCCCAAATGATGCAATGGAGTGGATTATATTCTATTGCCCCCAATGAGTTTGCTCAACAGTTTGGGGTCCAAGAGAGTGGCCATAGCTGGCCAAGGGAGTATTTATAACCCTCACCACAAAATAGAGCCGTTACCCCTTTGGAGCAGATTCCGCGCGGGCACCGGACAGCGACGGTGGCACCGAACACCTATCCAGTGGCCGCCCAATAGCTAGTCTAATGGTCAAATTTTTTAATGTTGTCCGTGTTAGTGGCACCGGACAGTTAGTCCGGCGCACCGGACACCCTATCCGGTGAGTGCTAGGCGCGACGATCACATTTTTGCAAGCCTCTGGAAAAATAGGGCAGTGCACCGGACGGCCTGTCCGATGACCCCTTGTCACCGAGTTCCTGTTTTCCCTGCTATCTGGAAATATAGGGTGCTGCATCGAACGGTCAGTCCGGTGGCACCTGTTTGGCATACAGCGGACGGGAACGTACCTATTGTGCAGCATGGAAGACTTGGCCGCTCGGCCGACCTTGTCCGGCACCCAGCGGATGGTCAGTCCGGTGCCACCCAAATGGTGGCACCAAGAGCCCAAGTTCACCTCTGCAAGTGTTGCTAGCTCTCAAATGTTTTCACAAACATATTTAGTGGTAAGTTAGCATTTCCAAAATATTTTTGATAAACATTTCCACTTGCTCTCCATTGTGCACTAGGCCTAAATGCATATGCATAGAAGTACAACACCTAGTGGCACTAGATTACCAAATTGTCCGATAAGAGCCCCCTCTTAATAGTACGGCCATCTAACCTAAATCCAATGTCGCACTCTATTGCGTCTTGACCGGCAAAACAAAATCTCTATTTATACCTTTGCCTTGAGCACCATAGGGTTTTGTTTTTCTCTTTCTTCTTTTCCAAGTAGGAGCACTTGGTCACCATCTTTTTGGCCATCTCCATCACATGAGTGCCATCTAGCTCCATCACTTGGACTTGGACCAACCTATCTCAATTACACACTTAGAGCATAGGGTTACCCCAATAGGTTTCATCAATTAGCCAAAACCAAATTAGGGCTTTCAACTTAGCATCTAGTTCCTCCTAAACAAGGAATAAACATCATAGACCGTAAATGGGTCTACAAAATCAAGAAGAACGCAGATGGCGATATTGAAAGGTACAAAGCTCGTCTAGTTGCAAAGGGGTTTAAACAAAGATATGGTGTAGACTATGAGGATAGTTTTAGTCCAATGGTTAAAGCTGCAACCATCAGAATTATTCTGTCTATTGTTGTTTCTAAAGGATGGTGTCTTCACTAATGCAACTTGATGTGTAGAATGTGTTTCTTCATGGTGTTCTAGAGGAAGAGGTCTATATCAGGCAACCACCTCGATATGAAAGAAAAACCAGCAACACAATATGTGTGCAAATTAGATAAAGCAATATATGGGTTAAAACAAGCTCCAAGAGCCTGGTATTCAGGCTTGAGTATGAAATTACAAAAGTTGGGATTTAAATCTTCAAAGGTTCACACATCACTTTTCTTCTATAGCAAAGGTGATATCATAGTTTTGTTGTTAATTAATATAGGTTGATGATATTATAGTTGCAAGCTCATCTACATATGATGTTACTACTTTATTGAAAGAACTCTAAAGTGAATTTGCTCTCAAGAATCTTGATAATCTTAATTATTTTCTTGGTATTCAAGTAAAGGAAGCTGATGATGGTATTCTTATGTCACAAGAAAAATATGCTTCAGATATTCAAAAAAGAGGTGGGATAGAAACTTGTAAACCAGTAGCTGCTCCTCTTGTACTATGTGAGAAACTTTCAGGAAGCATGGGTGAATTGTTCGAGATAGAGGTGTGTCGGATATATGGGCTCGGGGTACTTCATCACCCGTATATCCGGCCCACTATTGGTTGTCCGGTGACACTGACACAACAACGATAGAAAAATTCGACTGTTGAAATAGCCGTTGGGGAGGCACCGGACCGGCTGTCCGATGCCACCGCCGCCAGTCCGGTGCCCCTAGAAATAAGCTCAAGAGGGTAACGGTTAGATTGCTTGTTGGGGGCTATAAATAGATGGTGTGGTCAGCCTTGGCCACTCTCTTGGCACCCCCATACACTTGTGCACACTTCTTGAGGGCTGAGAAACACACTCCACTCACTTTGATCCTTGATTTCTTCATTTGAGTGAGATTTGGAGAGCCTCTAGAGCATTGCTTAGTGGTCTAGCATCTTGTGGCACTAGTTGGGTGATTTGGGCTGGTGGAAATCTTGTTACTCTTGGTGATTGCCAGCCCGGAGATTGTGGGATATTCGAGCGGCTATTGGTGATTGTTGTTTGCTCCGATCATTCAATTATGAGGGTTTCTTGTGCTTTCCCTGCGGGAGACACACTAAAGGCAACTCTAGTAGATTTCTCGTGACTTGTATACCCTCATCTTGTTGTGGTTCTTACGGCGCCCAAGTATTGGGCTAGGCGTGTGATGCCTATTAGTGCGTGAACCACCAAGTGAGTGCGTCGTCACAACATGGACTAAGTTGCCGGCAAGAAACTGAACCACAGGATAAATCATTGTGTCATCCTTGGTATTCTTTTGTTTGATTTATCTCTTGCCCGATTCGGTATACATCTCAACCACTCTTGTATTACATTCTTGATATACTTGTGTAGTGGTAGTTCTTGCTAGTTGAGTAGTTGTATCTAGTTGTTCATCTTTGCTAGCTCACTAGTTTAGAAGTAGTGATAGCCCTTGATTGTGTGATTTGACATAGAGGTCATAGCTACTAGCAATTGGTAGGTGGCTTGCCTATTCACTTGTAGAGTTAGAACAAAATTGCATTATCGCCATATTGTTGTCTAACCAAATTCTCTAGTGAATTTGTAGAATTTTAATTAGGCTATTCACCCCCGCTAGTCATTTAGGACCTTTCACCAGGTAGGGGCCTTTTGCGTACAAATTTATTGTGTTTCAAATGGGCCTCATCACCAGGCTCGACGACAACATCAACCTGATGTGGCTGCATGACAACATCGCTCCCGACGGTACGGCCTTCGTCGCCGATCGGTTCAGGGACTTGCGTCTGCAAGATCCCGAGCCATACGTACAAGCGAAGAAGCAATCACCTTCCGCCTGTCTATACCTTGTCGAACTCGAAAGCGCCATGGAGGCGGGGCCAATCGAGCTAAACCACCACATGAACCGCTACGCCGAGGAAGCCTTCTCCAAGTTTAGTCGAGAGTACCTCCTTGACATAGCCTTCAAGATCTGGAAAGATCCGCACATTGGACCCGTGACATGGATCCACCACCACTACCCGACTACGTCCTGCCTGATTTCCCAACCAAGCCTAGGAACACAGCGGCAAGTCATGCCTTGCGGCTACGCTAGGCCGCCAAGACCCCCCTCACAAGGGCTGGCCCCTCTCGGCTGTGGAAAAAGAACCGCAAGCACAAGAGCTGAAACATCCGCCACAAGAAGAAACAAGGCAATAAGGATGAGTTCGACAAGATCATGAATGGTCCATGCAAAAATCATGGTTTTCGAGTGACCCACCTTGCCAAAGATTGCATCGCCTAGAGAAGAATGTTCATCGAGGAGAAGGTAGCAAGAAACGACCTCCTGACCAAGGACAAGCGACACAGAGAAGACGGTCGAGATCGTGACATCATGACACCAGGCACGTCATGATCATCTTCGGCAGACCTGAAGCTTACCAAGATCGGCGGAGTCAGGAGCTAACGCGCAAGAACGACGCCGCAGTGCCTGCTGCGCCCCTCGGCTGCCATAGTCCGAAAGGCTAATCACCTTCGACAAAAGCAACCACCTCGATCACATCGTCGAGGCAGGTCGATTCCCTCTGGTAGTCAACGTGATGGTCAAGACCGTGCAGATGACCAAGATCTTCTTGGACGAAGGAAGCAACATCACCCTCCTCTACTAGGACGCTTTGAAGGAGCTGAAGATCCCGCGGGCTCCGATCCACGGAATTGTCCCAGACCAAGAGGTGATGCCTCTGGGCACTGTCACCCTCAGAGTCACGTTCGAATACAACACACTACCGCAAGGAGACACTCTTAATTTGAGTTGGGATAGAAGAGGTGATATGATATCTGGTAGATATGCTCTAAAGGATGTGAGCCTTAATTTGAGTTGGGATCTGCAAGAACAAGGTATCCCCCCTCCCTTAATTTTGTCCACAAATTTGAAGTATTTATGTGATTTGGTTGGAACTCTAAGATGAGCTTGAGGACAAAGTAATTTGATCTTGTTTGGTTAGGGCACTGAAATTTCTTGATTTGTATGTTGATTCAGCGTTCTCAGTTTGGTCTCTCTTTGCTCCAAAATCTTGAAATGCCTTTTGGCCAACTATAGTATCAGCACCATTATGAATTGGGGGTATTGCACACTTATCACCTAATTCGGTCCTTGAACAGAAATTTCACATCGCCAGTAGCTGACTGCCTCTTAGCAGTGATTTGAATCACAGCACCATCAGCAAGCATGCGCTGAACCACTCTTGCGATATTTTTTGAATCGTCTATCCCGAGATGGTGGTTTCCAATAATTGGCAGTTGAAGTTCCCTCATCATTGTCATCATTCCAGTTGCCTGGAAAAACGAAAGTCAGCAATAATCTATAAGGTTCACGATTCAGTTTAAAGATGAACTGCGCATGAGTTATCAAGTTCTGGTGAACATAGGTAAAAGCACTACATGGTATTTAATTACCCTTCTGCTATAGAAGTTGAGGTAGATATCCTTTATGTTAATCCACTCCATAAAATAGCTAGGTAATTTTATTTTTGAAACCTTGCACTGCTCAGGGACCTTTGTCTTCAAATCCCAGTTTCCACTGCCATATTTCAAGCATGAGAGGTTTAGTCTCTAAAGTCTGGAACATTGAAACAGTTAGCCGACTCAAACATATATTTTGTTGAATGATTTGATGGGCAGAATTTCAAGAGATGGTTAACAAAAGTTCATGAGTAATTTGCTTTAATGTAGCTACAGATGTAGTAAGTTACCAAGTAACAAATGCTCCACGGTTGAGTGATCCACCTTGCTCCTTTTTCCACAGGTTGTGATTTCCAAGCCAGTCCTCAAACTCTTGCAGCACTTCCTTGAAAGGGATAGCAGTGTCATGCCAAACACTGTTATGTAACAACGAAGCTGTTAGTGTGCATTGATAAAAAAAAATAACCAGAGCTAAGGAATACATTCCACTTCCAGATTATTTTGGTGCAAGCGTTCATATAAAAAGTTTTTTCTATGGTTGTGATTTATATATTTTTTTTTTTTTGCTTTTAAAATTCTTCTAGCTTTTTCATTGGGTGATATTGCCCTGCTCATCAATGCTATGATAATAAATCCTAGCAACTCCTTGTGCAGGGTCTCATGCACGTGCTGTGTGGAGTTGTGGAGGGCATGGCACTGACCATCCAGAGCCACAAGGGGGTCAACAATTTGGGCCTTCTCTTTAAGAATTTCCTAAGACATTACATGTTATTATGGATGTTGATCTGATCTGGATGGCCCTAACCCAAGCAGCCCGACATCAGCCAGCCGATAGGCGGCAGCCGGAACATAAGGGCAGGGATAGGAGAAGGGACTGGGATAATAGATCTGTTCTTCTTGCTTTATTAGATGGATACATCTCTCTCTTTATATAGAGAGGCTTACTCCTGTAAGCAAGAGACCTTATCTCTAATTAACTCCAATACTAATGGGCCACACTGCTGAACCCGGTCCAATAGGCCTTGCCGACTACCCATGACATTACTCTGCCCTTTTTGAGCAGCTCATCTTCGAGCTGCAGCATAACTAATACGTAATAACATACGATGACTCGACTTGACTGGACATAAACCTATCACATATAAAAAACAAGCCTTTTACATCTCAGCTCATTTCCTTATTTGTGACTAAAAAAAGTGACCGAATCTTTATGTGATCCTCCAGGAAGCGACCTGCAGATCAATCCAGCAGGAAATGCATGACGTGTGTTCATCCAGGATCCCATGGAAGGACATGTGCATGCATGGCACGTTCCTGCACTGCATTGTCACACATGTTGCCCTTTGAGCACATGAACACAAGTTGCGCTTGCAGATCAAACCGCCTAAGGCAGCATCTCCTCACGGACGAACTGGGAAGCGTATGCACAGACGCGCTGCACACCGCAGATTGCGTTGTCCGCTGCAGCATTTCAGAACGGACTGACGGGAAGCACCCCAGACGAAAACAAGCTACATGGCTGCAGGCAGATGCATGACAGGTGCCTCCTGGATCCCATTGAAATGCCACGGGCATGGACTTCATATGAGTTATAGCCTGCCAGGCAGCAAGAGGCCTACACGGTTCGTCCACTCCATCCATTCCGGCCAGCAACAGGGCCAACCCCTTGCAGTTGTCGATGTGGCATCTCAACACCCAACATGACCACGGATCCAACACGCCCAGCTCCATAAGAAACACCGCAACCACCGTCGATGATGATGCTGTCCATTAAGATGCGTCAGTTACCGGCAGAACTGATGCGTCGTGGCATGGACTTGGCGCAACTGCAGCCAGCGAAAACCCAGCAGCCTGCATCGAAGAAAGGCAGCGGCAACGCAATTCACGGTTGCCCTGCTTGGAGTAGTGGAAGACCATGGCGGACCGATGCCCTCTCGCCGTGAGGTCTCGCGGCGGCTCACGGTGTTTGAAGAAATCAGAGCTGCTCTCCAAGAGGACAGCACACTGGACACGGTCAGGAACAAAGCTCAGGAAGGTCTGGACGGCTGGAGTATGACTGATGGCCTACTGCTCAAGGACGGAAAGGTGTTTGTGCCTGAGATATCTTCGTGGGCACAAGCAGTAATTGCTGCTGCACACGAGGTTGGTCATGAAGGTATCCAGAAAACGCTACATAGAGTTCGGGCTGATTTTTGTATTCCACGAGACAGCGCTTGCTGTACATGCCAACAGAACAAGACAGAACAGCTGCGTCCAGCGGGGTTGCTACAGAGCCTGGAGGTTCCAACTTCAGTTTGGGCAGACAATGCAATGGACTTTGTTGAGGGATTGCCAAGGGTGAACGGCAAATCTGTGATCCTTACAGTGGTTGATCGGTTCTCCAAATCAGCGCACTTCATTGCGTTGGGTCATCCATACACTGATACATCAGTTGCAAGAGTTTTATTCATGGACATCGTATGACTTCATGGCATCCCAAGCTCTATAGTAAGTGCTAAGTGATCAGGACCTGTTTTCACAAGCAATTTCTGGCAGGAGCTGTTCAGGTTGTCAGGGGTGCAACTCAACATGTCTTCAGCGTTCCACCCGCAAACGGATGGTCAATTGGAGGCTACCAATAAGATCATAGCCATGCATCTTCGCTGCCTGACAGGTGATCGTCCTCGAAACTAGTTGCAATTGCTTCCATGGGCTGAGTTTTGTTACAACTCTTCATTTCAAGCGTCACTGGGCACCACTCCATTCAGAGTTGTCTATGGGCGTGACCCACCATCACTGAGAGCTTATGAGCTGGGAGAAACACGTTTACCGGCCGCCGCTCAGCATCTTAAGGAGCGAGATGAGTTTCTAGTGGAGATTAAAGAGCGTCTAGAGCAAACCCAGCAGTATCACATGATAGATAAGCCTAGTGTCAAAGCACTTGTATCTTACTTTTCTGCAATTTACTTTCCTTGGCTTCCAAGCCTTGTAATAGGAATATGCTCAACATCCACTTTAGTGGTTAGAATATGCCGGAGCAGGTAGAGAGACCCTTTGCCAATAAAAGCAGGGGCAGTACTATTGTAAGAACAGAAGCCATTGCATTTCCAATTCCAACAAGCAGCCAAGGGCCAAACTGCCCTCTGCTAGTTCCCAAATCTGAATCTGAGATCTATTTTAGGCCAACAATTGGTATCAGAGCCTTAGGGTTCTTGAGTGAGCAGTCATGTCCACCGCCAGGGTTCTTGAGTGAGCAGCCATGTCCACCGCCGGCCAGATCGAGAGATAGCGCGCCGCCACTGTTGCTGCCGGTGCGGTGATCAACCCTGGCGGTCTAGCAGCAGGAGGAGCCGACGGCCGCGCCGCACGCCTTGCTGCCGCAGAGGCAGCGGCTGCAGCGGCGGTCGAGACAGCCAGGCAGGCGGCGGTTGCGACACAAGCCGCGGCGGCCGCGGCCGTAGCGCTGTGCATCAAGATGGAGTGGGAGCCAGTCGGCGGATCGCGAAGCCCAGCAGGGTGCCATCCTCAGTCACTGTCACCAGAACGGCACTGTGGACGCCACAATCACTCGGCGGTGGTGCAGACCGTCTACCGTGACTCAGGAGTGGGGACGCCATGGTCGATGCTCACAAAGTCGAACTACCACGAGTGGAGCCTTCTAATGAAGGTAAAGCTACAAGCTCGGCATCTCTGGGAGGCGGTCCACGTCGGCGGTGTCAGCTACAACGACGATCGCTGAGCGCTAGAGGCGTTATGCGCCGCCGTCCCGACTGAGCTTGGCGCCTCCCTCTCCAACAAGGCTACGGCGAAGCTGGCATAGGAGTTGATCGCTGCGGCACGCATCGGCGGTGATCGTGTTCGCTAGGCGACTCTACAGCGACTCCGGCAGGAGTGGGAAGGCCTCGCCTTTCATCCCAGTGAGCAAGTTGAGGACTTTGCCCTTCGCCTGACCAATCTGATGGAGCAGACGGCGCGCAACGGTGACACCGACCTCACAGAGGAGCGCGCGGTGGAGAAATTCCTCCACTGCATGCCGAAGTACTCCCAGATCGTGATGGCGATAGAGACGCTCCTTGATTTCGAGCAGCTCTCCGTCAAGGACTTGACCGGGAGGCTCAAGGCGGTGTAGGATCGCGAGGAGGGGCCTCACGCAGAGCCGGGCGCCGCCGAAGGCAAGCTGCTGTACACCATGGAGTAGTGGCGTGCCTTCGAGAAAGAGGAAGGATCCGGCACGTCTGGCTCCTCCAAGGAACGACGCCGGCGTCCTCATGGTGGCAAGGAGGAAAAAGGACCCCGGGCGTAGGTTGGTGCTAATGGCGGCGCCGTCGGCGAGCGCAAGGCGACCCGGGATGACACCTGCCTCAACTGCGGCAAGTCCGGCCATTGGGCCAAGGACTGCTGCCTTCCTCCATGCCGCGGTGGGCAGACTCACGTCGTGCAAGCAGAGGAGGATGCTGCTCTGTTCTTGGTGCACGGGTGTGTCAAGCTGCAGCAAGAAACAGGGGAGGGGGGAAAAGGCCCAAACTTTCCCCATCCCGTGTTGGCGAGCTCCGCCCTGCTCCACCTCGACGAGCCGCGCGCCCACGCCTTCCACGGCAACGGCACCGGCGACGACAAGATCGACGGCTGGTACCTCGACACTGGTGCTACCACCACATGACCGGTCAGCGCGAGTTCTTCTCCGACTTGGACTCCGACGTGAAGGGCTCCGTCAAGTTCGGCGATGCCTCCGCTGTTGAGATCAAGGGGGTTGGCTCGGTCATCTTCAAGGCCAAGACGGGGGAGCACCGCATTCTGACCAGCGTGTACTACATCCCGGCCTTGAGCAACTTCATCATCAGCGTCGGGCAGCTGGATGAGAACGGATCGCGGGTGATCGAGGACGGCGTGCTGCGCATCTGGGATAGAAGCCGCCGTCTTCTCACCAAGGTGAACCGGGGAAGCAACATGCCTTTATGTGCTTCATGTGCAGGTGACGCATCCCCTTTGCCTTGCTGTGCGCCGGGACGATGAGGTGTGGCGCTGGCACGAGCGCTTTGGACACCTTCACTTCGAAGCACTGAAGCAGCTCGGCAAGGAGGAGATGGTTCGTTGGATGCCCCGCGTCAAGCCTCCTACCGCGCCACCGAGAAGCTCAAGCTGGTGCACGATGACCCCTACGGTCCTGTGACACTGGCCACGCCTACAGGACGCCACTAATTCCTGCTGCTCGTCGACGACGCCACCCGCTATATGTGGGTCGTGCTGCTCGACACAAAGGCGGCAGCTGCGGACACCATCAAGCGTTGCTGCGAAGGAGTTCTGCCGCAAGCTCTGGGTGCTCCGCACGGACAACGGCGGCGAGTTCACGGCGGCTGAGTTCGCAGCATACTGCGCTGACGAGGGGGTTCAACGCCACTACTCCGCGCCATATTCACCGCAGCAAAACAGCGTGGTA